ATGGGGAAATGTTCGGCGAATTAATTTATTCTGCGGAGGTTTGTTACGGATCTTAGTGAGGCGCAATTGGCCGAGTACACCCAAGCAATTTCTAAATATACGACGGCAATGAAGACAACTGAGGTGATGGTGAGGGGTGTAAGTTGGTGCTTCGGGCATTGGTCCGCCAGTGTCAGTGCGATGGATTCGCAAGTAACCTGCTAGGCCGATGCGTAATGTGCATGTGCGGTGGCAGTGCAGTTAGAACAGGCTGGTGGGTGCTGAGTCGGTTTCAGTGGAGGTGCCGCTAGTAGTGACCGCGCTGGCAGATGAGGGCTTGACAGTGCTGGAGATGTAAGAGTTGACAGGTGTGCAAAGTGTGCTTGGCATATGGACATTGGGGTGAATTCCGCTGTTATGGATACGCATGTGGCCGAATAGTCCTATGCGGTGAGTGAATGCTTGTAGAAAGTACGGGCAACAGGGGCGGATGCGGCAGGTGTATGCGAGGGCTGTTGGCGCCGGTGCGACGGTTGCGGCGCAAGGAATTCGTCAGTGACCAGGTCAATGTGCGACCGCAATGAAGAAATTTAGAATCGAGTGCACATTGCTGACTGTGGGAGCGGTGGTGGTGAGGACAGTGGTGGACAGGGCCTCGCAGGTTTCCTCATAGGTGGTGGGATTGGGAGATGTGGTAGTCATCATCATCATCATCATCATCATCATCATCATCATCATCATCATCATCATCATCATCATCATCATCATCATCATCATCATCATCATCATCATCATCATCATCATCGTCGTCGTCGTCGTCGTCGTCGTCGTCGTCGTCGTCACGGAGGTTGTTTCAGGGGCAATGAGGTTAACAGTGGTCGATGGTGGCGGAGCATCGCGAGTGTGATTACAGGTGGTGGGGATGGTCACCGTCGTGGACGCCGTCGGGTTTGATGCAGAGAGTGAAGATTAGGCAGGCAGGCAGGCAGTGGAGATCCGGTGGTCCGCTTTGTCGTGGAGTTCGGTGTTGCGTGCGAGTGTGGTGCCTGGATAGGCAATATTTCCAGGGTTTTAATTTGAGTGTCGTCGGTAATTATTCCAGGGACGTTCTGTGTGATTCATGGAAGTGTTGTGTTAATAATATTGTGGAGTATTTCCAGTCGATCACTTTTAACAATGCCAAACGTGTCATCAACATATCGTACCCATAATTTGGGGTTAACTAGTGGTAAGGCGATAGCATCTAATTTCTGCATTGTGACTTTTGCGAGAAAACCAGGGATGCGTGACCCCATAGGGGCTCCCTTCAGCTGTGGGTAGTATTCCTGTACAAATGAAAAGTTCCCTTCTATACGAAGGTCTAAGAGTTTTAACAAAGCAGATGCAGGGATGTCCATGTCGTAGTACTGGAGACGTTCCTCTGCACATTGTGCTGCTAAATCCAATGCTATGGAGGTAAACAGAGAAAAGACATCGAAGGATACCATTATTTCATCTACTGCGATTCTCATTAATTGTAATTTGTCCAAAACCTTCACCGAATTATTGATTGATGCTTCACAATCCTTTATAAACGGATAGAGTTTGCGAAATAGCCATTTAGAAATCTTGTAATTAGATGCACCGATTAACGATACAATCGGTCGCAGTGGCACTTCAGGTTTGTGAACCTTAGGTAGTCCCTAGATCTTATGAATGGCTGATTCAGTTTGTTGTAAGGATTTGGCAATATCTTCTGATGTTTGTTTCTTTCCTGTAAGACGTTTTAGGACTCTTTCGATAGCCGAACTTTGCGCTTTAGTAGGGTCCGTGCTAAGAGGTTTGTAGGTTGATCTATCCTCTAATAATGACAACATATTTTCGTTATCGTCTGCTCTGCGCGGTTGATCCTCCTTTGTCTGCAGGAAGTATGACAATGCTTTTGTCACTTTTAAATGTTTTCAGTGCCTTCTTTTATTCGTGTAATAGTACTGAAAAGGGATTCCGACTCTTTAAGGCATGTACGGTGCTATTTCGGATTGTAAAGCGTTCGTCGTCAGTAACATTTTTTGCTGATAATATAGACTTCAAGTTTGCAAGGAAATCTAGGGTTTTCGCATATATATGAAAAAAGAAAGAGGTCCTTCGGAAAAATCGAGGTGCACTCGTGAATTTTCGAGCTGGTGACACCAACCCGTCATCAGACGAAATGAAAACAACGGAGAAAGCCAGTTTGTCACACTAGAATAGTTAGCGCGACAGGACAGACAGACTATTGGCCTATGATATGGATGGCCGCAGAGTCATGGTAGGTCTTTGAGCGAGGGAGGGGAGGGTGGGGGAGGCGGAACAAATACGGGTCCCTGTTTTTGAGGGAAGGGCATTACTGACAAAGACAAGGGAGACTGGAATGGCCATTTCTGGCTTATTAGCCGTCGCCAGTCAGTCATGCTTAACCCCAAAGTGTGGAATATCTGAGGCTCGAACTCACGACCTGTTAGTTAGAAGTCCACGATTCTAACCACTGGGTCACGAGCCCGTTGCCCTGTCGGTTTTCGATCGGGAATATACAATGGTAGGGGACGCTCACCTATCGTTCTTACGGAACTCACTCGTTCCGTTGTGCCTTACGGGCTTGAGAGAGAGAGCCCGTAGTGCCTAGATTCGGGTAGCCACCGATGGGGGTTGTGTGGCATTCAAGGACCAGACGAAGTAGTTACCACTTGCATTATGCGACCTACCACACCTTCACGGTTTTCACCTTAACTACAAAACATCAAACTCCAGGAAACAAATATACAGTCACGCATATATCAGGTGATTATTTACTTGTTGGCCAAAAATATCTCGAAGTTTGCCTTTAACAACTTCCTAAAATTGTGAGCATGCTGTCTGTTCCACCAGTACGTCGCGTGTATGCTGTAGTTTGTCCCCTTTTCGATCGTTTCTACGGCCTTTATTTCTAGACAAGACAGTGGAAACTGACTTCGAGTCGCGGAACTTTGCCTTTGCGAGATCACACGCTCTGCTCACTATAAAACATGCCTCTTTTCTTCACAGTACTAATACTCTTTATACAACCTAGTGAACTCTTGATTCTAGCTTTACTTTTAGCCATCAGACGATCGACAGGTGAACGTTCACTTCATTTTCAGTCAATCGGAGTTGGTTGCCACGTGTTTAAACCTTGGGGTATCCCACCACATGTTACCCTTCATTTTTGTACCGTTCTTACCCACCCCTTCTGTACGACAGGCTACTGTCAGTTTAAGACTTACGACTATGTAGCTGTGAAGTGTATGGAGTTAATGGTGAGACCGGCCCCCTGATCTATTGAACGTTGAGGCTATGCGCCAGTTCATATGATTAAGGTTGGCAAACTGTCTACTGTCGAGATGACTAAATACCGACAGTTCGACCGTCGATTTCGACGATGTCCACCGTGTGCCCCACAGCTGCAGCAGCGGTGGGAGCAGGGACGGTGACTTGCGCAGGGGTTTATAGTGCCAGTAGACTTGCGCTGCATCTACCTACACTCTCTCCTCCTCCCCCGCCTGGGCCCGGTTTTAAGACAGAGTCAAGAAGACCGGAGACGAGGGAGGCCGCAGGTGGATGGCTCGGACGGATCCTCACCTTGGCGTTCCATCACACCCCCTGGTCCACACGACAATAACCAGGATTTCAACCAACACAACAGAGATTTGGAGGCTGGCACGGCCGAAGCCGCACCTGGGCGTGCCGCCAACGCCTGGCTCGGATCCCACACTGTGGTGGGAATGCCATAAAGGCCACATTAAAAAGGAGCCATTGCAGCCTGACTCTCAGACCGCCTCCCGTTAAGGAGGAGGTCCAAGGTACCCCGTCAGTTGGCAACATTCCAAGCCACGGCTTTTAGCGCACCGTGATAGCTTCAAGCGCGACAGATTGTTTATAGTGAGGAGAAAGTGCGCTGAGTCGTCGACCTCACTCTCCCTTCCCATTCCCACACCCCAGCCGCTGCCCGAGCCGGTCAGCAGACTGGAGTGGGGAATGGGCGCGGTGGCTGACATGGTCGACTGACCATGCCTGCGCGCGCCACAGCACGACCTGGCCCCCCATACACACAAACACCAGGACTTCACACAACGGGGGTAGAACGGCGTGACTCCCACTTGCGTGAGAGGGCCGTGGAAGGTGCTGCTTCAGCCCATCCCCAGCCCACCAGTACTCCACTACACACAACACACACACAACGTGACGAACTGCGTGAACCGAGAGCAGGCCTCAATCAGCAACCTTCCTATCCACGACACTTGACGTGTCGGGATATTCTCGGACACAAGTCGCCCGTGCAGCCGAAGCCGCATGGGGACCGAGTCGAGATGCACACTTCCCACTTGCGTGGGAGGCGGCAGTTGAGTGCATGAGGTGTGTGAGGGTTGATGTCTGGTTGGGTGATGGTGTTAGGAGGTAGGGCGTGAGGGAATGTGTGGTGTGACCGGCGGTTGTCTACCGCAGGTCGTCGTGGATGCGCATGTGGCCGAATAGACCCATGCGATGCGTGAAGGTGCGAGGGCAGTGTGGGCAGTGGAGGCGAGTGCGGTGGGTGTAGGTTGGT